AAAAAAAAAAAAAAAAAAAAAAAAAAAAGAGGGGAAGAAACCAAAGGGAAACAAGGAATCTGGCAAGAAAAAAGAGGTGAGTGAGTGGGAGCCAGACAATATTTAGGGTCTAAATAGGAGAATTCTGGAGTTAAGGTGGGTTTGGATCAGAAGGCTTACCAAGTTTGTCTGGCTCAAGAGTCTGGGTGGCAATCTGTGGGTGGCCCACACTCAAGAACACACACAAACTGGACACAGATACAAGTGGTGAGAAGTGTCATGTGGCAGGGAGTGGCGAGCGTCAGCCCTAAATGCAGTCATTTGGGTACAATGTGCCCTTCAGTGAGGGCATGGTGACAGCATGGGCTAATTTACTGAGCCGCCAGAGCAATAACTCAGAAAGCAATACTGCAGCCCCAGAATGTTTCATGGTGGTAAAAAGCTGCATTACAGCATACTGAGATCCCGGAACCAATGAAAGAAGACAAGTTTACCAAAACGAGTCTTGACACAGAGTGCGTTTCTGGCAAATACATTATTATGCACTCATTCTACTCATGTCCTGGAGAAAACTATTTAGTTTCCTTATATGGCCCTTCTCTTCAGCTCTCTCCTGTGTAATGAGAAACAAAGATAGAAAAGGAATAGAACTGTTCTTCCCGTCCCCCACCCCCTCAGCTTTGCTTCAGGAGGTGACTGGAGGCTCCTGTCACTGAGGTCAGAGAAGAACTATCAGCTTTTGAAATCACTTTTTAAAAACCTGAAATCATGCTGCTGGAGAAATCCGAGTAGATGGGGAAAGACAAGGGAAATACTGCAGTTGTCTCTGAGGCTGCCAGAATTCAGTGCCCTTGTTTTTAACCATGACATTTTTCTTTAATGCCATTAGAACATTAGCTTGAATACACCAGACTAAGATATAGCATGGTGTACAAAGCCAGGCTGTCAGCTGTCACTCTTCAAGTTGAGAATTTACTCTTATAAGTGGCCCTCAGACTTCAAATAAAACCCAGGACCCCAGGTTCATTTCTCAGTATCTTCCTCTCAAGTCTCAAATTCTGTTCCCTGGCCAAAGCCACACTCTACCTGGAAAAACTTTTCCTCCTTGCGTGGTAAAACCCTATTCCTTTTCTCCAAGTTTTCCTCCACACCCGCCCTCCTTACTTGTTGCTGTACTCATTTGATGCTATAATGTGACTTCACTAGCTTGTCTTGTTCACTGACCCTCAGGACAAATTCTAGGATTCGATTGGACATGCAGTAGATATACAACAAAGGTTGACTAGAACTTTGACTAGAATAACTACAAACAGAGCCATCTATGGAGATTATCTACTTTCTCTAAAGCCCTTCATAAAACAGGCCAGTCTTTCCCTCTGAATCACTACACCCAGAAGGACAACTTTGAAAGACATGTGGGCTATGTCCTTAACCTTTCAGGAAGCAGGTGCCGGACTATCATGTGACTTCAGGGAGGAAGCCATTTTCGGAACACCCCCCTCCCCCCGCCACCATGCTGTTGTCAAACGATCTACACTGCTACAGCCTTCAGCCGTGACCACCATGGTAACTTGTTTTAGCTGTTTTGATAAAGAACCCAAGGCTTAGAAATCTGCCCAAGGTCTCATGAATAGCAAGTGATGAAGTCAAACGAATACAATGTGTAAGGTCAGAACTAGCTCCTTGAAATGAAAACTGAGGCTGGAGGAAAGTGAGATGTTCCGGTGAGGAGACAATGAAGGTACAAATGACTTGTCTGAGCTGAAGGGCGTGCAGTCGGACGGTGTAAACGGAAAGCCAGCCTTGTTCTTGGCCAGAGTTTAGATAACTGTACACACTGCTGCCATCCTGTCAAATAACGGACTGATCAGGCACTCAGCTGAAGCACTGTTTTAAAACAACTTCTCAGATTTATTGAACTCCTGTGGATAACATGGTCGAGTTTTATATAAAATTTAGTCTTGCAGACAGCTCTGAGTAGAGGCATTATATTGGGCAAAGTGATCACAGGATTTGTATTATCCTTTCAAAGATGAAAATAAAATCAACACATTTCCCCAATTCAAAATTTGGTTTTATTACAGATTCCAGCACCATAATTTAAAAGACTGGATTGCTGTTTCTCTTTAATTTAGGAAAATGACAAGAGGCAATGAAAAAACAACCATTTAAAAGAGATCCCACTCCAGAAGTTTTTGGTAAAGGTTAACATCCAGGATTTCTATCCTCCTACAGTCTGAAGAGAAAGGGGCTTGGGTTATATCCATCTTTACTAGCTTGCTGCGCAAAGCCTCTGCCAAGACCTGGAGACATTTCCCAAACCTCAGGGTCCCTGGCTAGAGAGTCCTGGGTGATGGATACTAAAACACCTCCTATTCAAGGTCAGTCACAGTCCTCCCCAACGGCAGGCAGGCAGCCGACTGCATCGCTTGCGACATATGCTAGGCGAAGGAGCAAGCCAGACGTCCCGGCCTGTCAGTCATGAGTCACCAGGACTTGAGCCTGAGTTCCCGTCGCCAGAGCTCACTGTCCCGCTTAAGGAAGTCACATAAAAGTCATCATTGGAATAGTTGATTTTCCACAAGTAACAAATGAAAATGTTTTATTTATGGTTAAATCTGCCAACAGCTCAATCTCTCCATCTCTTCTGGGAAGCAAATTCAAGAGTTAACAATACAGAGGAACAGCATCTGGGTGTAAATGAAATGTGTGCTTTCTCTTATTAGCTTCTTGGAAAACTATTTCTTTGCATTCGGTCTTCTTGAGAGATTTTACCTTACCACTATACACTGTATGTAGGAAGGGATTTTTCTTTGTAGCCTTTATTTCATTGCAAGGGTTTATTCTATGTACTGAGAGCGGGGGCAAAGACAAAAGGCAGCACAAAGCACCCCTGTGTCAGCGACTAGTCCTCTAATATCACAGTGCTGACTCGAAGTAATTCTGGGAGACTTGAATACATCATTGCATTTCTATTTGTGCTCTGCCTCAGGCTTTTCCCTAACCACTAATTTTGAGTGAAGGTCTACAGAGCTTTTGTGAAAGTAGCAGAATGCAAATAATATGCTGGTCTGTAGCCAGTTGTCAGTGTACTTTCTAACGGAGAAAAGAGGATTACAGGGAGATTTGTTTCAGCCATTAGTCCAACCAAGACTTAGAAGACTTACAGAGAACCGCTTCACATAGAAGCATGGTAGTGTTGGGAGGGGAATTACAGGGGGAGCGGTAAACACCCACACAGGTCTGCAGAATACCAGGGAACAAGAAGAGGGGCTTTCTGTACTGTGATTGGTGGCGTGAGGTGTTGTGGATTAGCCACAAAACCGCATCAGTGATAATTTGGAAACCTGTTCCAATTTCTGGTGTGAATTCCTTTCCTGGACAGGTCAAAGATTGTGCTTAAAGATCTCATCAGAAGGTAACAACTTTTTAAAACATTCTTCTGGTTAGAAACCAGAAGCAATATAAACCTAACAAGATGGAAGAACAGGCTTTTGATACAGGCGAGGTGAGGTGTTGGATGAACTTACACAGTAAGCGAGACTATTTCTTGGTCTTTTCCTTGACCACTCCACACTCTGTTCTAACAGGGAAGGACGTTCACTTCTTCTGGAAGAAGCCAGTAATGGACACTTGTCTGTTGGCTTTGCCCAGAGCAGCAGTCCCTTTTCTGGCACCTTTTCGTTCCTCTCTGGCTTCCTTTTTCAGAGTAACGGCAGGGGGCCTGTGTGTGGAGGATGTCTTCATCTTAAATTCTTCTTCACTGTCTGTGCAGGATTCACTCTCGTAGACTTTTTCAGTTACTGGTAGAATAAGGAAAAATGGGACACAGGAGGGTTGAGGCATTTAGGACAGAAGGCCTCTTGATCACCCCAATTCCTTCCAACTCTGATGAAAAAAGGTATGCTCGCCGCCTACTTAAGTGCTCTTCCCCTGAGATCAGATCCAGGACTAGGAAGTGTGTATCTTCAGTTCATACAGCCTCAAGATGGCGCTCAGTCACACTCACGTTCCCCTGCCACTGGTGTACCCCCCACCTTTAAAGGGCCCTGAGCAGTTGAGGGCCTGGGCCCTGTGCTATAGTAGCTAGCTAGCTTCCTAAAGCTCTTCATCTCACACCTCAACCTCTGCTTTGATTTCTTCAGTCTTACCTCCCTGACAGACAGTACCTGCTCACTTTCACTGCTGGTTTTCCTGGTCTTGATCTCTGTTCTACTTACATGCCCATCCTGCTGAGCCAGGCTCACTGCCCTGAATCCTCCTGGCTGGCTCTCGCTAACCTGATGTCACCCACTCCTAGCGTGACCCAAGGACACAGAATTGGGTTAGTTTCTCATTTGTTCAGTTCTTATTTCAGAATTACTGTTAACCCAAGAATGAGTAGTTGTGTACATCAGGAAGGAAACTGTCCCAAGCAAATTCTGTCAGGCGACAATCTTGTTTCTTGTTTCATCACTGCCTTTCCTGAAAACTAAATTACTGTTCTCTCCTATCAACCAAAGGCATAGTTCACCTCTTCTCTTGAACCCTCCCCAATGAAAATTGTGAAAAGAGTTATACCAGTGAGTAGTCATTAAAAGGAAACACTAAAAGGCAATGATGTCACAGAGCTGATGACAATCCATTCACTATTACAACAATCATACACCAACCACAACAGCACAATGCCACCTTTCCATGACTCCGGAGAGCTGCAGTGGCTGAATGACCAATGTCATCTTTCTCAGCATTCCTGATTACAACAATGGAGAACAATAAAGGAAAACATCTTTGCTGAACTGAGTAACCAAGTATATGCAATAATGCTAAAATAACTGAAATGAAAGGTATTTTTTCCATTAAATAGCAATTATTGATCATTTCTAATAAAATATTAGTATAATTGTTATATATATATATATATATATATATATATATATGTATCTCTTTGTAATTACATATATCCATATCTTTATACTTAACTTGCTACTAACAACAATCTTAAACTTTCCAGGTGGAATACTGGGAGGAATGTGGCTGGGCTCTATTCCCAGAGTTTCAGATTGATGTATGTTCCTAACGCTTCCCAGGCAACGTGCTGATGCTGCTGTCTGGAGACCGCCCTTGAGGATCACCCTTCCCCTCTCCTGGAAAAGGAGCTAACACTGCCTCACGGAACGGATGGCCGCACCTGGCCGCCTCTGCCGAGGACCTGCAATGCTATCTTTCCTCTCACAGTGGGCCAAGCTGGAAGTCAACTGGCTCCTGCCAGAGGAATAGTCCTTCACCTTTTCCAACTAGTCCCATTAAAATGGGATGATTAATTGGGCTCTCCCTAAGAGTTTCTAGGACTTCCCATTACTTTCAAGGCTCTAAAGTTCACTTTGTTGACTCCTGATAATTCAGAGGCTAAAAAACCTGACATACTATGTGCTCTCAAAGACCTGACAACTCAACTGTGCTCCAAAGACCAGTGGTGATGATCAGCTCTTCCATGAATTATTAGAAATGCAGCACCTCAGAACTTACTTCAGGCCTACAGAATCGGCTATTTGAATTTTAGCAAGATATTCAAGTAATGCATATAAGCCAGCAAAGTTTAAGAAATGTCCACAGATACTCAGGGAATTACTGATTAGTTCAGCAATTATGATCCACCTCCCATCTTGTACTTGAAAAAGCATTATATAGTTGGATCAGTGGCATAAAACTGAGCTCAGTTTTATTTACTCAGTATCTCCAATTAGAGAAGTATAAAGAGCCGCGACAGATGAGTCTTTCCAGCTAGTCAGAAGACTTGTTCTTTCATAAGGCATAATCTGTATTCTAATGGTAGCAGGTCTAGAATATTAAACTAACGTCAACTAGCTAATTATTTAAATTACTTACTAATGAAACCATTGGTTTTCTCATTGTGAGTTTTGTTTAGTGCTTGAAAAACAAGTCAGAGCAGTACCAACAATTTTTTAAGCAGACACTTGAATTACCTGAAGAGTTAAAAGAAGCGTTTCTGTATTCACGGCTGTAGTTATGTAGTTACCTCAAACTAGAGGACAACAGAAATTTCAACTTAAAATATAGGACTTTTATTTTTAGCTGGACAACATACCACTTTTCTAGGTTACCATAAAAAGGCCCAGTTTGCATGGGTAAAATCAGAATTCTTTTCCATTCAACTGTTTTGCTCTTAGAAATACAGCTTGTCCAAACTTCTCACAGGCCCAGTTTCCCAGTCGTTGCAGTAAACTTACATGTTAGCAGCTTTTTAAACTGACAGACCCACTCTGGTCCAGCACAGGACAGGGTAAGCATCCTGTGCGGGTACATTTGGAACAGTCTGAGCAGAAAGAAGAAAGCAGCACTCCTTTGTTGGGAATAGGAGCCAAGATTCATTAGTTTGCATTTGGACTGAAAACCTTAAAAAAGTACGATGAGAGCAGTTTGCATTGTTGTATCCAAGGTTCTTAATAGTCCATCTGGAGACAAAAGTACAGAAATGTCCATATCCCATACCTGGCCAAGACTTGAAAACCGTACTATGAACAAAGTACAGGTAAGTAGCCAAAAATTTCCAATGTACTCTCACAAAGATATATCTGACATTATTCCTTTGGGATAGAGGAGGAAAAAACTGGCACTCCTATTTTTTTCATCTTAAATTTAAAGGTAAGGAATTCAACAGCAAATACATGTATCACCACTGACAGTCAAACCAAGAGGCTTGAAAATGCATTATTAGAAGACTCAAAACAAGAAACACAAAGCCCAGAATTCACAGGTTTATAAAAAATCCGGCACTGAGAAGACTGAATTTTTCCACGTAAGGAAATTTATTCCCCAATCACATGCTACCATTAAAAGGCAGACCGTTAGAGGTGGGAAGTGGAGAATGACGAACGCAGCATAAGCTGATGAGATGCCTTCACCAGTTTAACCACCACACTACCAAGGAAGAGTTCATTCTTCAGAATCCCTTTATAAGACTAAAAATCAAAGGGAAACAATACTTCTCTAGGAGAGTTGAGGTGTGGCAAGTGCCACAGGGAAGAAAAAATGATTCTGAGCTATCCAACCAATACAAGGTTTAAGAGCTTAAACCCACAACTCTGCAAACACCAAAACATAGTCCTAGGATCTGAGCATCTGATTGGGCCCAAGCGATAAACCCTAAAGCCTCACAAAATTCTAGTTCAATTAGGCAGACGACAGAGCAAGCTAAATCATGGCTAAAAAGTCAGTCAACAGCACAAAGGTTGAATTCTAATTTCCCTCCAGGCCCCCATAAACAGCACATGTTTTTACCTAACATGGCTTAAAAGTAGGAACTGAGTCATCTGGAAAAGACATACCCCTCTGAAGAGCAAATAGGACAAATGACAGACTCCTGCCTTTTCCTAATCATAGAAGCTTCTTTTCCACTGTTTAGCTGTATCTTCACATACCGGCAAAATGAACATTACCTCCATTCCATGACCCCGAAATCCCTAACTGAAGGTGACATGAGTTTTATCCAAGATCTTAACGCTTATTCTCACAGCGCCTGGCTCCAGTGAGAACCCAGTGCCCTGACTTTAGCCTCCACTCAGACTGTGGGCGACAGACAAGCAGCACAGCGTCACCCATGGAGAATGGCGCACAGAAACATCTGGGGCACACTGCTTTATGGGGTTACGGTGTCTCTCCATACACCATCCCTAACTCTGAATTTAGAGCCAAACTTTTCTTACCTATGCAGCCGTCCTCATCCACAAAGGTTTTGGATTTCAGCACCCTCTTTCGTTTTCTTTTATTTTCCCCACTCGAGCTCTGAAAGATCAGAGGATACAATGGTTAAGCTGATAAGTGTAGCTACGGGGACAATAACAAACTATTTAATCTACAACCACTACCCTCCAAGATTCCATAATAGCACTTTGAACAAGGAACTCTATACATTTCCATCTAGGGATCTGATCCCACTACACAGACAAGTTATGTTCCTGTGTGTGTATTTCACTGTGTATAAAAAGCAGCATGTTGAGCAAAGAGGTGTGTTCGGGGCCCTCCCTGGTGGTGCAACGGGTTAGGACATAGCACTGCAAGCAAGCCACAGCCGCTTCAGTGAGAGTTCCAGCCCTGGAGGTGACCCACATGGTGCAGCAGACCTCTCCTGACCCGTCCGCTGCTCCCCTCAGCAGTGTACTTCGTAGATCTGCCTGTTCTGCTCCCTACTCTGTCTCTGGTGAAGCCTCTCACTGCCCCTGCACCTCTGGCCTGTACCCCTGAATAAATAAATCTTTCAAAAGTGTGTTCAGTCACATATTTTCGCTGGGTGGTACAGGCCATGGTTAAAAAGATCAATAGCATATGGACCTTAGTGGGGGGGAGAAACAAGGAAAACAGACCATCATGATCCACTGCATTAAAGGCTTTAAAAGGAGGGCCCAAGCAGGGATGGGGGAGCCCTCAGGGAAGGTGCCTACACCAGCCTGGAAGTTGCCTTGGCACAGGACCTGCTGTAGATACTCTTTTAGCCTAGCTCTTCAACATTATAACCATCTAGTGACAAATAGTATTATAATGAATACCAATTTTCATTTTATCTCTATTAGTCTTTCATCATATTTTTTCTTCAGCAAGTGAGAAAATTAGTGGAAAATTTAAAGGAAAAGCTTTAAAAAGGCGGGGTGGGGAACTAATCAGCCTCTCAATTCTACATTATCTATGTTAATAGAAGTAAATAAGATGCAGTTGGAGATTGTTCAAAATTACATTTTCCTATCTGTTGCCAACTTTTCAGAGTGAACCCTTTTCCAGAACAGCTCTGAAGAGAACAAACATGTATACATAGTTTATTCTACCTGTCTCTCACACTTTACTCTGCTGCAGGTGGACCTTACTCTACACAATTCCATCAGGAGCCAGACAGCACGGCAGCCCTGATGCTGGAAGGCATGAAGAACAAACAAAGCTGCTCCCAAGATCGACCTCTGTAATCTCCCCTGAGAATCTGCCCTACCAGTGAAATCTCATTTCCAGTGAGAAGAGCAGTGCCCACAGGAGAGCAGAATGAGACAAGAGCCATCTACTGGCCCTGGAGAAGTATACTAAAGCGAGCGTTTGAACTGATTTAGCACAGCAGTTTTAGGTATATGGGAGCGAGGAGACATGGGAGGGGACCATGGCAGTAAAGCTGTACCGTGACTGGAGGAGGCTCTGTCTCAGTCTTCTGCACTGGTTCAGGTGGTGGAGAAGCAGGAGGTGGGGATGGCGACTCTGTTTCATAAGCCCCAGGAGAGTCTGGCATGACTGCAATAAGAAGCAAGCTTAGATTAAGAACTACAGCACTTTATCTGTTATAACATTGTCTCCACTAGCTCTCTAAATGTCCAAGCCAGGCAAAGGACACTTTGTAGACATTAATTCATGACAATTAAGAACACTGCAGTTGTAACTTTACATAGTTATATATACAAATATACCCACACACTTGCATGTATATCTCTTTAATATGAATATCTTATTAATTTACAAAGAAGAGTCAAGAATCATTAGATTTAGGTATACCTTAGAGATCATCTTAAATTTATTTTACAGATAAATGGGGTTATGAGGTTATTACATAAAGAATCTACCGATCATCTATATTTCTTATATTGTTTCACTTTATCTTCACAACAAGTGCGAGAGACATATTCCTCCATTAGAATTGAGAAAAAGGAGGCTCCGAGAGGTTAACTGACTTGGTGAGGTCACAGAATTTGCTGCTGAGGCAGGAGGTTTTCAACTCAAGTCAGCCTGATTCCTTAGCTTTACTCTCTTAACTGCCCCATGTTGCTTATCACTCAGGACCACTAATTTTCTCTTCAGACACAGTTAGGTGGATATAATCCTCAAATTACAACAAATGTTCTATGCCAGTTTTTGTGACTATGATCTGAGGATTATTTGCAATCACCTGATACATTTATTAGACTGAAATGTTCTAGCTGCTAAGAGCACACATTTGGGTGGTGGGGTGGGTAACATCATCTTTGAAATGGGAACACCTACAGTGCTAATCTTGCCTAATACATTGCACAGGAACTATATTTTTTTGTGACTGCCCTACTGACAGGCCTATTTTGCTACACTGAGATTTATAGAAAAGAACATTTTTAGGAAAGAAATTATTACTATGGAAGTGGTTATCATCTGAGAGCACCACTAGAAAGACAGAGCATCATTTCTGAAGAATTCCAGAAATAGTGGTCTTAGTATAGGTCCCATGAGAGGGGAAGTGAAAATCCTCAACTGACCTATTGCGTAATCCTCACAAGGAAAATGCTGGTCAAGGGACTGAGTGCTGCTTAGCCTCACCTGCTCCCTGAACCTCCTGGCTGTATTCAAATTCTTAGCACACGTCTTGGATCTGAAATTCTCTCAACTGATTAGTTCAGTGTTAAAAATTATGACAGTGGAGAGTTCAAGGCCAAATGACCTAAAGAGGTGAAGCAGAACAAGAGCCAGAGGAACACAATAAAACAATAAATTAGACACTTCAAGAATAAAGTGGGCCCCCAACTTTGCAAGTTTTAGGAAACGAGACAAAAACATAAAAGGAAAGTGGTCCAGCTATTAACCCAGCTCTGGGAGGTGAAAACATGATGGGAGTGTGAGCAAGAGAAAAGTCAAACCACAGAACCAAGCACCCATTTTTCTGAAGATTTGGCTAGTAAGAGAGCTATGTCACGATGTGGTACAGTGGTAGGAGGAAAGTTTATACAGCGAGGAAGCCAAAGAAAAGGACTTTTGAGTACTCCCAGCAATAAATTTAGATGTGCTTATTCTATTTCCAGTTCTGTAACCACTTGACTTAACCAAAGAAAACACTTAATCCCAGGGGCACCTTCTGAGACCCCTTTTCCCTCACTATAAGGGACAGTTTGTTTACCTTGATTCCCCCTCCAGACTCTGAGCTCCAGAGAAGCAGAGACACCACAATTTCCCTGGTACTGAACACAGAGTACTTTTGGAAGTAAAATAATCATTTGTAAACTACATTTGGGGTGAAGGGCTTCTAGGTCAAGGAAGATCCAGAATATATACATATCCTTCCCTTCAAAAGAAACATAATAAAGGAGTGAAATGCTGTAGCCCTCAAACCCCCATTAAAAGAAGAGAACAGAAGAGAATCCAAAAGCTTTTGATGAATAAGTAACTTCAACAAATCCATGGAAGATGGATGGTAGATGGGAACAAGCTGATCAGGAACCATCAGTCAGATGAGTCACATAGAAGTTACTATTGTTATAAAACTTGTATCTTATTTGGTTTTTGAAACTACATACATTATTAGTTTGTTTGAAACTTGTTAATTTTAAGAAAGAATGGGGAAGAAAATTCAAATTCTGGGCTTCATAAACATTAATCACTCATTCTCATAATAACCCCATAAAATCACTATTACTATACTTTATACATCTGAGGTTCAAACAGCTTTAAAATAAAAAAGTTGCTCACATACATATGCTAGACTCTATGTCTTAGTGTTTATTACTAAGCCAAGCATACTCCCTCAATATACCTTAAAGATATATCACACAAAAAATGTGTGATACGCTGGTACATTTTAAATATATTTGTAATGAATTTCAGTTCTTCAGATGAAAGATATGAAGTGGTGAGACATAAGTTATCCCAGGTTGCAACCTTTATTGGGGCAGAATAAGAACTGTGTAAAACTAATTTCAGGGATCCAACAATATAGCTACTGTTTATCAGAGACTTTTCTGGCAGAGATGAGTAATCAGAATTCCTGGAAATCATTCACAGCTTCCTAAGAAATTTTTTTAAAAAACACTAATATACATACAATTTGCGAGAGCTGAAAATGTTAGCAAAGACTTCAATGTATTGGTTGAAACTTACTTCTCCCTCACAATGCAGATATTACTTATTGTTATTTCTGGATCTGGCCGTTTCTTAATTTACAGAGAGTACAGTACACAGAACTGCTTACGGTGACAGCCATGGAGAAAGAAAGGAACCTCTCAGTAGAGTTAAAAGATAGGAAGTTGAAGGGAATTTTCTGAAATAAGTACTTGCAAATGAGGGCATTTACTACTGCTACACACTTACCAAATATCGCAACAGGAAAAATTGGGGTAATAAAAAAACCTATGTGTCTGTCCTGGCACTTCTGACACTTGAGACTATTAAAAGCCTATAGTTTGTGATTACACTCCCATTTTAGAGTTGAAGAAACAAGGAATTAGAGAAGTTAGGTATAATTAGCTAACGTCACACACAGTAGGAGGTAGAGGTATGACTGAAACTCAGGTCTGCCTTGTTTCCAAAGCCCCTACCATTTCCTCCATTCCTGCTGCTCATCTGCAGACTTATGGCTAAATTACACTGTATGAACAGCACATATTCAGCATAACAGAAATAAAACAATAGAGACTATGTAAAGGTTTAAAATAAAACCGCACTGGCGTTGAGACAAAAAGAAATTCAGGAATAAAATGGCAAAGGTTCATAAATTTAGTCAGATGCCAAAATTTATCTTTGCCAGAGGGAAAATTCTGAGCGTCTCTGCTCTATGTCATCTGTTATTATAGGCTGTCCACCTCTATCACATTTCTTCTAGTTTCCAAATGAAATAACTCCTATTTCTAATCATCCATGAGTATTAGTTTTGTGGGTTAAGGATCAAGCTACAGAGAAGACTTCAGAAGCAAGTAATGAGTGTTCAATCAAACACAGAAATTCCTCAACTTAGATTCTCTATTCTTGGTGAAGGAGTCAGCTCTAAATTTACCTTTTCAACACACCAGGCAGATGGCTTCAAAAACATTCCAAAATCTTCCCCAAAATGGAAGTAAGGGAGAGTATTTCAATTAGCACATATTCCTATTTTCCCCTTGTGTCTCCATGTCTTTCACTCTTAAATGGTCAGAACATTCCTTGATGGTTCTTGTCTCTTATATCCAGTTGGGAATCTTTCTTTTCATAGCCTTGGTCAAAGCATTTTGGCAACTGACAGACAGCAACTGTCCCTCAGGGATGCTCACAATGCCATGTTCCTATCCTGAGATGATTCTAAGAAGTCATTAAAAACTACTGCTCTGATGGGCACTGTACCTTTCACTGGAAAGCAGAGTCACAAACTCTTCCACATGAATGCAAGTGGTAGGACATATGCCCACGGAGAGAGTCAAAGATGCACCTCTGTCATGTGAATGACTTCTTTCTGTCTGTTCATTCCTTTTGCATTACTGTCAGCTGTGTATACAATTTGTTTTTGCACTCTCTTATACAGTAAAACTAATACTCCTTTTCTGGAGAACCTGTTACCATGTTCAGTTATTCTTACAGCTATTTCTTTAAGTGTAGAGTCTAACAAGTTTAGTTGTGTCCTTCGTTTTTCATCTCATACCTTTATGTAATGAATTCTGGACTAGAGTCTCTCTCCCATCCCGTTACCTAAGGCTTTATAAACATTATAGCATTAATTTGTGGAGAACAGATTGCAGCAACTCAAGTCATTTACCACTGGTACTCGAAATAGGCTCTACAGGGAGAAGTCTCATGGCACATCAGTCTAACCCACATGGTCTTACTCTTCTCTTTCTGTACATGCTCACTTAAGACAAACGTTTAGGAAGAGATGTCGGGTCTCAGATTATTTGATATTCTTTTAAAAGGCACATTACTGGGCCCTCCCTGGTGGCACAGTGGGTTAAAGCACAGCACTAAGAAGCTTAAGCCACTTCCGCATGAGTTCGATGCCCGCCCGCCCCGGAGGAGATCCACATGGCGTGGCAGATTTCCTGACCCACCCGCTGATCCCCTCAGCAGTGTACTTCGTCGATCTGCCTGTTCTGCACCCCACTCTGTCTCTGGTGAAGCATCTCTGGCCTGTACCCCAGTTCTGTATGAATAAAAATAAATAAATCTTTAAAAATAAATAAATAAAAGGCACATTACTTTCCCAGGTGAGACTCTTCTGCTTATTCAATTTGCTTATCTTACATTAGCGCCCAAAACCTAAAACTCGACGGGTCCATGGAGTCATTTCCTTTCAATAATGACATTTTAGAGTCTACATTTCAGCACAGCCTTATTTGTGTGGTATGGGACACCACCAACACTCTTGATGCCTACAATATTACCCATTTTAAAAGATTCACATGAAAGTAGTGAAAGGAATTTTAATTTTTCACAAAGTAAAAGGTCTTTGCTAATATGTAGTTCACCCAAAGGCATCTGAACAAAATGGGTCCACTTCTATGTGGATTTTGCTATAAACATGATATTGCTAAATATAATATAGTAATATCAATTTTTTCTTTAGCTTACTTATTGTAAGACTACAAGACACAAGATAAGTAACATACAAAATTGAGTTATCGTTAAAGTTTTGATCAACAATAGGCTATTAGCAGGTAAGTTTTAGGGGAATCAAAAGTGCAAATTTTGGACTAAGGGCAATCGGTACCCGAGTCCCTGCATATCTCAAGGATCAACTGTATATAATAAAAATACTTAATTCTTCCCTTTGTGTTACTTTGGCAAATGGTTTTGGCAAAAAGACTAAAAGCAGATTTTAAACAGAAATAGGGCCTATATGTTTCTCAACATTAGGAAGACTACCTTCGTTGTGACCCACAATAATCATATTTTTAGCTTCTTGACTATCATAGTAAGAATGCAACTCTGCTAGGGATCAAATGTTTGTGCTCCCTCAAAATAGTATACTGAAGTCCTGATATGAACAGTATTTGAGGTGGGGTCTTTAGGAGGTAATTAAGTTATGAACATTAAACTCTCATGAATGAGATTAGTGTTGTTGTAAGACACAGGTGAGAAATGATCCCTGTTGCCACTGTAAGGATAAGGCAAAAAATACAGCTCTCACCCAGAATTGAATCAAGTAATGGCCTGGATTTTGGATTTCTCACCATCAGAACTATGAAAAATACATTCTTATTGTTCAATCCACCCAGTCTACAGTTATTTTGTCCGCGTAGCCCAAACTGCCTAAGACAATAACACTAGTCAAAATTAACAGCAATGCTTACCTTCATCTTCACTGCTATCAGATTCAGGAAGTTTGATTCTTCTTCTCTTTTTCTTTATATTTTCAGTTTCTTTTGTCTCATTATCAGATAGATCCACTTGCTTCCCCCTGTTGCCAATCAGGAATCATTTCAGCATGTTATACAAAATAAAAAAATATAAATATTCAGACACTACTATGGGTTTTGCTTTATGTCTCATGGTTTTAATTCCAGAGGCTAGAAAGGTAAGTTTATAAATGAACAAAGAATTTTTTCTAAGGACATTCTGCTAATTGATCACCACTAGGTCACTTCAAAGGGAATAAAAAATTTCTCCAACCCTCTGTAGACTACAGGAAGCTCATACCATTTTATCAAGAATTTTTCCAAATTCCTTCTTACTTCCCCATATCAGCCTTCTAATCATTCAGCTCTATCTATACACAAGGCTCTTTGTCAAACACTGAGGGATGATCAAGAAAAGATCAAAATCAAGAAAATATTGTTCTCAAGAAGCTCTGAAGAGAACAGGAGAAAAGAAACATCCCTCGACAAAAAGAAAACAAATTTATAGAACATGAATCTTAATTGAACCTTTAAAAACTAAGTAGACCTTCATCAGCTAGATAAGAGAGACATAATTTAAAGAGCAAGAACATTATGAGCAAAAGCAAAAACATGATTCTAATGACATAATAAAAACTTAGTCTCCACCTTGACATTATCTAGCTCTTCTGGATATTCCATCACACTATTCAATCAACAAATAACTGAACAAGGACTTACTATATGTTTGCGACACAAATACGTAAAAGACATTTTATCTTCAAGTACCTTATTTTTATGTAGACTTAAATATCAATTTGTTTTTCTAGCTTAAACTAAGAAAAGATAAACACAAATAGAAGGAAATAAAAGAACAGAAATCAGTGAAACATAAAAAGAGAAATTATCAAAGCTAAAATCTGTCATTTCTTGGAAGATTAGTAAAATTAATAAACTCATTATAAGGCTGATTAAAAAGCAAGACAAAAGTATGTGTTAAACAATATAAAGAATGAAGGAATCTACATTGAGAACAGATTCTACAGATACAAAAAGAATAAGGCTACATTATGAAATTTATGTCAATAAACTCAACAAGTGATATGAAAAATATTTCTTTATCAACATAAAAACAAAAATGGCCCAAGTGCAAAAAAGTATGTATGCCTCTATTTAAAGAAATCATATTCATAAAAAAGGAAACCTTCCCAGAAAAGAGAACCTTGGGTCCAGACACATTGAATTTTGTCAAACTTTTACGAAACAAATAATACTGTTCAAAAAAAAAAAATTTTAAATCATTTTAAAGAGAGAGAAATATAATCCTTACACAAAGTCAGAGAACGAGAGAAGGAAACTCCTCTCCTAACTAATTTTATGAAGTTAGCACAATTTTAATATCGAAACCTGATAGAGTTGATCTATAGCTTTCATAAATGCAGAGGCAAAAATTCTTTATAATATTAACTAATAGAATCCATCTATATATATAAAAAAAGTAATACATTACAAGCAGGTTTGTCCCAAACATGCAAGATTAGTTTAACATTTGAAAACCAATCAATATAATTCATCACAATTACAGAAAGTACTGTATGATCATCATCTCAATAAATGCAGCAAAAGCATCTGCCAACATTCAACACCCATTTGTAATAAAACCCCTCAGTAAACTACAAACAGAAAAAAGCTGCATCTGGTAAAGGGCCCCTACTAAAAACATATTTAGTGGTAAAATACTGAATGTTCTCTTGGCAATCACCATCAACAGCAAATGCTGTACTTATGGCTCAGGACATTTTAAGGAATCCACTTTACAGGTTCCTAGGAGGTGAAGTCCTCTGAGCAGTCTTGACCTTCCAAAACGTCAGCATTTTGTTGATGTTTTCTACTAGAGTAGCCCCAAATTTGCCACAAAAGTCAAGTATTTCTGGGCCTATCAGTGCTGACAGTGTCCTTTAGAATTTCTTTCAACAGAGTAATTCCTACCAACTATGAGGTAGTGTCTCAAATTCCTGGATCCATTTTTAACAGCTTGTGTGCTTTTTATTTTCTTTTCTAATTACATTTTACCACTTGAAAAATAAACTCATTGATATAAAAAGAAAACAAAGAACTTTTTCTCCTAAATTGACTGGAAACAGTAACCCTTCATTTGGCAAACTGAAGTGGAAAACAGACACATAATTAAGTACACTTATATCACTCATGTCCACAAATTTAAAACGAAGTAAAGGGAAAAAAGACAATCAATTTAGATAATTAAGACCCAAAAAGGGGACTCTTAAGCTCAAAGACATCTAACCTGGCTGATTCCACAGTTCTACTTCACCCGCTAAGTTTTTGCACTTCTCGCTTCATTTGGACAGATATAGTTATATCCCAAAGGTATTAAGTAGGATTTGGTACTCAGATGAAAACCTCTGTCAATAAGCCCAAACAGACCTTCTCAACCCCAGCAGAGACACTCTTCCCCAACAAACGACAAAATTTTCCTACCTTTTTTTTTCCTTCTGCTGCGTCTTAACAGGCTCTGCTTTTTTGCTGGATTTCTTTAGGCCTCCAGGAGCTGCCAGCTTTGGTTCAGTAACAGACACTGGAGGTAGCTCCACTATTTTTTCTTCTTTCACTGCTTGTTCTGAATCCAAACTGACTTTAAGTTTATCTACAAATAAAATACAGCAGATGATATGCAACCCCACCATGCAATATTTCTCTATCATTCCTTTGACAATCTACTAAGTGCCAGGTAATATGTTAGGAGCAAGGGCTAGGAGCACGGTCCCTGTCATAACAGCAGGCTAGTTAGAGAATATTTCTTTCCAAATATCACTTTAGCTGTTTTTATGTCTGCCTCCTGTTAATCCTTCATGATATCACAGCCTTCATGCTGAATGATGCTAACACTGAACTCAGAAAAAAGTGAACATAACTTTATGACATATCATCATCCTCATTTGAACAAATTAAGAGTCACGGGGATTAAAAGGTATTTATTTCTCAAGAATATACAACTTAACATATGGTTATGCATATTCCCTTAATGATATAATTAAAAAGATTTTTTAGAATCAGAAAAGTTTGGTTCAACCCCACCAAAAAAAAAAAAAAAAAAAAAAAAAAAAACTCTGGGCAAGTTTTTTCTTTTCTTTTCTTTTTAAGATTTATTTAGTTGTGCATACAGAACTGGGGTAACAGGCCAGAGGTGCAGGAGCAGTGAGAGGATTCACCAGAGACAGAGTGGGGAGCAGAACAGGCAGATCGACGAAGTACACTGCTGAGGGGAGCAGCGGGCGGGTCAGGAGAGGTCTGCCACACCACGCAGATCACCTCTGGGGCACGGATTGGACATGCACTGAAGCAGCTGCGGCAAGCCTACAGGGCTGTGTCCTACCCTACTATGCTACCAGGGAAGGCCCAAGCACATCATTTTACATTCACTCTGCTAATCTGAAGGTTTAGTTTCACTACACCTTTGGCAACACTTGTTACCATGCAGCATTAAATTTCAATAGTTCAAGTCCTCACAATCAATCTGTTCATCCAATTCTCAAACCTTATTTCTACGATTATTTTACATAATCGTCTTATGTGACAAATACAATAATTAATATTTTTAAACATTCATCCCTAAAAAAATATCAACTTGGGGCCCTCTCTAGTGGCGCTGCAGGTTAAAATCAGCACTGCAAAGCTGTCTATATGAGTTTCAAGCTCCGGCTGGCCTGGAGATGACCCATATGGTACAGCAGACCTCTCCTGTCTCCCCTCAGCGGTGTACTTTGTCAATCTGCCTATTTTGCCCCCTGCTCTGCCTCTGGTGAATCCTCTCACTGTTCCTGCATCTCTGACCTGCACCACAGTTCTGTATGCATAAATTAAAAAAAAATAAGCCAGTCAAAATACATCATCAAACTTAAAAAGAAAAATCAATTCTGTAAGCTTTTCTATGAATAGGTCAATATTTAATTCATTTATTTGGGTATTCTCCCCTCTATTACATTTTATCATAACACCCTGTTATTTTCTGCCTAGTAACTACAATCATCAATATTTTATTTTTTATGTATTTGTCTCTCCCAGTACAATATAAAGGACCTTGGGGGAAAGAAACTCGTTTGTCTACATTTTCTCTATTCTATCATCAGTGCAAAACAGTTCCAACTACACAGTAGGTGCTCAATAAATATCTGCAAAATGAACACATGAATACGTATTTTTTTTACAATTGGCATATGTCTATATATTATATATATAATCTTATAATCTGTCATATACATTAAGTAGAAAATCTATTTTTTGAAGGTTACAACTGCATACAATGAGAACAAAAACAAACAAGTGGACTGTTCAAAACTGTCAAGAAACCACACAAGCTGGGCGCAGGGAGCTAGTAACAACCGACCACACAAGACCACTCACATCAGCGCGATCTCCCTGTGCAGTATGCCTGCAATAATGCAATCATACTTCCCAATAACCTGGAAGTATCCAATTTTCCATACGTTCAGAAAATAGAAATGTCTGATTACTTTTATGGCAAATAAAAGCTATCACACCCACCCCTGCCCCCAATCTGACCATTATAGAAAAGCAGAATTCTGTCTAGTTTTGCTTGCGCAGGCATTGTAACAAGATGCCTACCCACAGAATCTTTGTAAAAACTAATGCTCCAAGAAAGTGTGCCATAATTATCCTGTGGCTCCTGCATTCTTTCTGGTATTCTACCACATACCCTCAGGGGTGTGCACTTGATAGGAGAAGCAGGAAAATATGTGACCATTCTTTCCACATGAAAGAAGTCTTTAGATTTTTTTTAAAATATGGAGATTGTGCTTTTTCAAAAAGTAAATATTTCTAAATGGTCATCACTACCTGGACCTTTCTAAATCACTCTAGGGTCTAATTCATTACTGTGAATAATCTGTAAAAGTAACTAAAGAAAGACAAAAGATGTTTTGCAGAGACAGGGTAATAATGATCACACCAGGCAAACTCATATCAGCATCCATGATATTAATCTCAATACCACATTAACATGACCCATGTTCAAGAGCCCTCTGAGACAAATATTTCATTCTCTTTGCAAAGCAGGGCATACAAATGGAATATTATACTATCCTATACACACTTAATCAACAGATTATAAATTTACATTAGGATGTACAAATGCCACATAGTAGTGTCACAGATGGTCAAAACTGGACAAGGTGCCTTCAACTCAGATATAATGTGATTATATAACATCCATGTATTAGTCAAAGGAAGGTAAGAAAATGCTTACTCATTGCAGCTTTTCCAAAAAAATTGCTTGTCATATTCGTTTTTGCTGGTGCTTTATTGCCTGCCAAAGATGCCTAAAAGCATAGAAAAGAAAACACACGATTTTTTTGAGTGTTGAAGCTGTTCTTCAAGTAGCAGTCTCAAAAATTCTTGACAGCAAAGCACACTGTAATGATGGGAGTCTTTATATAATCATGCCAAAACATACAGGCATTAGGTACAAGACCAAATTCAGACCACACACTGATGTTAATCTCCAAAGCTTAGTTTCTCATAGGTTTTTTTTTTTTTTTTCCAAGATTTATTTATTTACTCATACAAAACTGGGGTACAGGCCAGAGATGCAGAGGGTGAGAGGATTCACCAGAGACAGAGCGGGGAGCAGAACAGGCAGATCGATGAAGTACACTGTTGAGGGGAGCAGCGGGCGGGTCAGGAGAGGTCTGCCGGGCCATGTGGTCACCTCCAGACCAGGCGGGAATCGAACTCATGCGAAAGTGGCGTAAGCTTCCTAGTGCAGCGCTTTAACCCGCTGCGCCACCAGGGAGTGCCCTCTCATAGTTCTTATAGAATGATTACACATGAATGTAACCAGACTTTTTTTTGAGAATACTTAAAAACTACTTAGTTTGACAAAATTAAAGTAGATTAGAAGCAGTATGGTACACAATGTTGAAAAAATTCCAAAACATTACACATCTGTAATAATGAGGAATAGATCTGATTAGATCCTATCACTTAATAGCAATATGACAACAACAGTAGCAGTAATCATTTAATAAGTTTGGGCTTTCATTTCACCACATACAAAATGGAGATGATAATATCTCCCTCATAGAACTAATAAAAGAATTAAAATAAAGATCAAACTACTGGGACACAGTAGCAGTTCGATAAATGGGGGTGCTTACCCTTCACCTCTTCTCTCCTTTGCCAATGTAGAGGCTTTAAATTGACCATAATGGTAGTAACAGTAATTATACCTCTCTGGATTATGTGTTAGTAGTATTTTAATGATACTTTTCTTAAGTCAATGCACTTAAATTAGTTCAGATGAGTGAATAAAAAACAAAAGGAAATGAGGGGGGAAAACAAATTCTTAAAACTAGAGTGAGAATGTTAAATACAGTAGGACAGGCAGCACACATGGCAAGACCCAAATACAAGATGATGCCAAAACAACATATTTCTGATATGCAATTAAATCTCTGCACTTTACAGTAGAATCCAAGACTTGGTGAGAAGCATTATTAAAAGGACTATGTCAGGGCCTCTCTGGTGGCACAGGGGTTAATGCCTCAGCACTATCAAGCTATCACCAGCCACTGGAGCATGAGTTCAATCCCTGGCCAGAGAGGTGACCCACATGGTGCAGCAGACCTCTCCTGTTTCTCCCACTGCTCCCCTCAGCAGTGCATTTCAGCAGATCCACCTGTTCTGTAATCCACTGTCTCAGGTAAATCCTTTCTCCCCCCCACCTCTGGCCTGTGCCTCAGTTCTTACATGAATAAGGAAATTAAGAAAAAAACTATTTCAGATAAGAATACCAAGAATCAAAGGATCCCAAAGAACAAAAATGAGAATTTATTAAAAAAACCTTATTACTGGCCCTCCCTGGTGGCACAGCGGGTTAAAGCACAGCCTGAGAATCTGAAGCCACTTCCGCATGAGTTCGATTCCCGCCTGCCGCCTGCCCCGGAGGAGACCACATGGCGAGCCAGACCTCTCCTGACCCGCCCGCTGCTCCCCTCAGCAGTGTACTTCGTCGATCTGCCTGTTCTGCTCCCCACTCTGTCTCTGGTGAATCCTCTCACCGCCCCTGAGCCTCTGGCCTGTACCCCAGTTCTGTATGAATAAATAAATAAATCTTTAAAAAAAAAAAAAACACCTTATTACCACTGATCTATTCATACTTTTCAGTCACCCATTCTGACCTATAAGGGCGTATCTTTAAAAGAGACTTACATTTGTCACCTCTTTAGCGTCTGTTTTGGTTCCCTTGTTGGTATCTTGGGTTTTAGAAGCAGCTTTAGAGAGAAACATTCCCATGACTCCTTTGGACTGTTGGGAAACTTGTTTGGAGGGAGGTGGGCCATGACCGTTGGTGGTCAACTCATTATTGACTTGTGCCTCCCTTGCTACTTGATGATTTGACTGTTGACCCTTTTCAGAAGATGACAAGTCAGCAGGAGCTCTAGGGACTGCAGCTGCACACTGTATGGCACTAAACCTGAGGACAAAAATATTATATTCAACTATTGTCAATAACAAACTTTATTTTCAAACTCTTGTTTCTTCCATACAATGCTTTCTAGAACCCTAATTCTATAAAATTACAGGACTTTAGGGCTATAATGGACTTTAAAATTATTTTGTGAAAAACTCTTTCATTAAGATGCATTGGATAGGGCCCTCCCTGGTGGCGCAAAGGATTAGAGCACAGCACTGCAAGCTAGCTGCAGCTGTGTGAGTTCTATGTGAGTTCTGTGTGAGTTCTGTGTGAGTTCTATCCCTGGTCCCGGAGGTGAGCCATATGGTGAGGCAAACCTCCCTTGACCCTCCTGTTGCTCCCCTCAGCAGTGTACTTTGTCAATCTGCCTGTTCTGCTCCCCACTCTGTCTCTGGTGAATCCTTTCACTGCCCCTGAACCCTTGGCCTGTACCCCAGTTCTGTATGCATAAATAAGTTAAAAAAAAAAAAGATGCAATGGATAAAGTACTGGAGAGGAGTAACTCAGATTATACATAGTTGGCAATAGAACTAGGATTAAAATAAGGTGTCTTGCACCTATCGTATTGAATATTCTGGTTTTTAAAAAAGCATCCCAATTCATACACAAAACAATAGATTAGTCATTTCATCATCTTGGGAAGCCAAATGATGATCTCTTGTTTTTAAAGACTTTATAGGGCTTGGTATGCAATAAACATTGACTGAATCAAGAGTTTTAAATATTAATGAATTATCTGGCAACTTTCCTGGCCAGAACAGATTAGCTGAAGAGAATGGAGGAAGCTGGCAACAGAGTCACTGGCATCTATAGTTGTTCACAGTCATTTATTAATAATTTCAAATAATACCAACTAACAGAACAGACAAGATGCCCAAAGTCAAGTGAGAAAATCTGGAACAGTTTGTATGAAATATTAAAGGGAACATTCATCTTTTCTCTAATTATTATAGATGTGTCTCTTTCATACAAATCCATAAGGTAATACTCCACACTATATATGTGTAATTGATGCAACCTTCTCAAAGGGTTAGACTTAGAGCAAACTCCCCAAACGTTCCTAACAAAGAACACTTCTATTTATCACAAGTTTTTAGCTTTTGGTGGGGAGGGGAGATGGAGGAGAGTTCCTTAAAGGTGGGGAAGTATCTCCCATACAAAACCTGGAACACAAGCAAGTGTTGAAATAATAATAACTAAAATCATGAAAATAGGCTTCTGGCTTCTCTCCCTTCTTTAGTATATCACTTCAATTTGGGGCACGAGAAGAAGGTTAAGAAAGTATGTAGTAATAGCAATCATTTTAGAGATCAACCAGACACAACTTTTATGATTAACTACTAAAAAGAAGTGGACTTAGAAGTCCCTCAAGTAGTGTCTACAAAGCCAGGTCTTCCATTGTTTTATTAACATCCCACATCAGAAAAATCTCTATCAATAGAAAGATTTTATACATCAGTGTTAAGAGCACACAGAAATTATTTACTTTCACATACCACTCTTCCTCTCTGGCCTTGCAATGCTTCCATGTACAAGCAAAAGAGAATGTTTTATTTCATTGTTAATATCAAAAGTTGGCCCCAAAACAACTCTTTCTCCATTTAGTCGGCATTCCACACGTTAGGGTCAGTACCAGGAGTTGGCAATGAGGAAGAGTCAAAGTTAAGACTGGCAACATAACTGTAGACAGAAGATTCTTCTCAAGCCTAAAATATCAGCTTTCTTCCTGTCACAGCACTTCTTAAAACACATGAAACAATTAGTCAGATCAGTTGGCCTGTAATTCTCAGGACCAAATACAAATGTCTTTATTGGAAATAAATCCTTTCCATTTTTATTGAGGATACTTTAAGTATTTAAGTAAGTTTCATTTAGGTATATTCTATTACTGTATTTCTACTTGCCATGGATATTTTAGAAGTCCCTGTGCAAATTTCATTTAGAAGGTTTGAGTCACTTTTATTTTTTTTTTTTTATTAAAAAGTTTATTTTTACATCATTTTTCACATTTTTTTTTTCATCTCAATTGTAATCCACTTTTATTTTTATGTACCTGCTAGATACAAGGACTGATTTTTAAACTTGATAAATTACAAATAGATTTGAAAACAGATTATTTTTGAAATTTAAGATTATATTTTTCATAAACTTATCAAGGTGTTAATGTTTTCTTATAATTCTCTCCTTAAAGACACCAAGCTTGTAAATTACTACTATTAGTCTAAGTAATTATACTTATTTAGTAAATACTTTCATACCTATTACACTCATGGTTTTAAGTTAAAGAATAAAATAACTGGGCCTCCTTGGTGCACAGGGATTAAGTCTCAGAGCTTATCTGAGTAATCAAGTTATAACTAGCCACTGTGGCACGAGGTGGGTCCCCGATCAGGAAGCTGACCCACATATGGCTCAGCAGGCCTCTCCTACTCTCCCGCTGCTTCCCTCAGCAGTGTCTTTCAATAGATCGGCCGTTCTGCATCCTACTCTGCCTTTAGTGAGTCCTCTCACCCCTGCATTTCTGGCCTATACCCTAGTTCTTGTATGCAAATAATAAACCTTAAAAAAAAAAAGAATAAAATAACTAATGTCTATCATTAATTTACTTAAAATATTATTTACTGAGTGCTCACTGTGCCAGGCACTACTTGAGTATATAATGGTTAACAAAACAGTCGTGATCTGTGTTTTCATGGAGCCTATAAAAACTGTTTGGCAATCTACCCCTAGTTCTCCCCATCTACACCTAGTTCCCCCCAGTGGCCCAGCTCTATCACTTATTAATCTATCTCCTCCCTATATCTCATTTCCTCATTTATGATTCTTTCCTACCAACAAACTTTAAAATGTATTCTCAATTAAAAAAATATATACATCCGGGCCCTCCCTGGTGGCCCAGCAGGTTAAAGCACAGCACTAAGAAGCTAAAGCCACTTCAGCATTAATTCGATCCCTGCCCCAGAGGTGATCCACATGGTGCAGCAGACCTCTCCTAACCCACCTGCTGCTCCCTCAGCAGTGTACTTCCTCAGTTGGCCTGTTCTGCTCCCCACTCTGTCTCTGGTGAATCCTCTCACCACCCCTCCACCTCTGGCCTGTACCCCAGTTCTGTATGCATAAATAAATCTTTTTAAAAAAATGTATACATCCTCCCTTAGTTTCAATTCCTTTCAGTTAACTCTCTTTCCCCTCAATTTTACAGTCATTTGGAAAGAGTTTTCCGTACTTGTTCTCTCACTTCTTCACATCCCCATTTACTCAGCTGAGCAGAATCTGTCACACCAATGAAAATGTCCTTACCATCACTGAAGCCAATGGACACTGCAATTACTATTTCACTTAAGTTTCTCAGCAAAGTCGATACAATCAGACCCTCCTTGAAACTCCTTAGCTTTTGAAACCCTCTTCTCTCTGGATGCTTCCTCTTTGGCCCCTCCTTTTCTGCCCATGTCTTGAAAAATGACTATCACTCAAATAATATTTAGATGTACTAAGCACTGTTCTGGGGGCTTTACATATGATAATTCATTTAAGTCTCTACAACCTTATGGGATTGGTACTATGGTTAGTTTCATTTTACTGAAAAGATAATTAAAGCACAGAGAGGTTAAGTAATTTGTTCCAGGCTTACAAAGCTAGAAAAGGTGGCCTAGAGTTCTGTTCTCTGCCTTTTTTTTTAAATCCTACACATTCTCTCTGCAAGACTGTATCTACTTTGTGGTCCAATTACTTACATATTTTCTGACTTCAAAAATTTACCTTCACTCCCAGATTTTTCTCCTTAGCTCTAGATTCATCTCTCTATTACAATGGACAGCTCCACTTGGGTTTCCACAGGCTACCTAAACTCAACATGTCCACACACAATTCATCATTTCCCCTCTCTCCCAAAGCCAGCTCTTAATAATAGTACCATCATCCATCCAGCTGCTCAAGCCAAAAACATGGCCACTAGTCTCAATAGCATGAACACTGCCACCACCTTTTCTCCCCAACTGCTACCATAGTATCCAGACTTTGATAGTTATTACTCTTTCACCTTCACTCTTTTCCATCCCCACAATTACTGTACTTTACCAATTGTCATATCCACTCTAGATCACCGTAACATTTTTCCTCCCCAATGGGCTTGCTTCTAAACTATTACCTTCAGATCTATCTTCACATCACAACTAGAGAGATCGTTCTATAATGTAATTCTGATCATTTCATTCAGCTGGAAAATCTTTATTGGCTCCCCTTGCCCTCATTAGAAAGTCTAAAGTCTTTATTCTTTATTATAATAGCCAAAGTATGTAGTCTCTCTCCTATTTGAGTCTTACATCCAATTATTTTCTACCTCTCATCTAACTTCCAGCCATAGAAAACTATTATGGTTTGTACAAGCATCATGTTTTCTCTCAACTCTGTCCTTCCTCTCCCACTTCTCTGACAGAAATTTCTACTAGACCTTGAGACCCTAACTTAGAAGTCATACCCCTCAAAAAGCTTTCTGTCTTGCCTCCTCACTCCACCCACTGTTGGGGATGAGTGCCTCCCCAACATCTTCTCACTATTGCTTCCAAGATAGCATTCCTATCACATTGAGGTGTTAACTGCCTGTTTGGGGAACTGATCTGTACTCTCAATACAACCACATAAAGTAGGCATTATTATTATCCAACTTAAAGATGAAGAAACCATAGCTCAGAGAATTGAAGCAATCTGTCTAAAGCTATTGTTGCTAGGTTATTAAGTAACAAAACTATGACTCAAGTCCATGACCATTCATTTCCAAAATCCATGTGCATTACAGTCCATCACCTCCCTGTACTATGAAGAATACAAAAGATGAGTAAGATCTGATTCTGACCAAGAAAGAACAAGAAAAAGTTGGTTTTGGATGGAAGGCACAAGGATATCAAATTAGGAAGAGTAGTTTCTTCAAGGACATCTGAACTGGTTCTTGAAGGGTGGGTAGAAATTTAAACAAGATGGGGTAAAGGGGTACAGCAAACATTTCTGGTGGCAGTGACAGCATAAATATATGAAAAATAGATTTATGGGGAGTCCACTGGGATTTTCAATATGGGTTGTGGCTGCTATTTTTCACCTTATGATGTACTAATAAAACCAGGCATGTGTCTTACTGCAAGATAAATGGGGTTTTACTAGACTTGGCACTCACTCTCAAGAGGCAGCCACTGTATAAACATCTTACAAAATCAATTCGTAAAGAAGCCCACAAGGAACATTAAGGAGCTCACTTGCTGCAGTTCTGCAAGTTGCTTTTAAGGATGTCATAGTCGGTATTGAACAGAGGCCCACTGTCCTTTAGCATGGCTTTCTGGATGCTGTACACATGGACGCTGGCAGTCACAGCTAGCTTGGACTTCACTGCTACAAGTCAACAGGAAAAGCAGTCTGTTAATACACAAATTTCATAGCATGTGGGGACTTTAACAAGAAACCCTTCTGCATTAAAACCATTTGCAATCTGTGGTGGTCCAAAAATTTCTCAAAGGTCAAATAGCCACGCATACAGTATAACATCAAGTCTTCTGTCTGCAGTAGGACATTATGACAAGTAGGTGGTGGTGAGTCAGTTCTAAGTACAGCACCTGTGAGGGTATCACTCATCCAGTGGACACTCAGTAAATATTAATTAATGATTAATGATGACTGATTTTTTTTTCAGTCAGGGAAGAATCTTACCCTCTACCATATAATTAAGAGAAATAAGTAATTTCTATCTGAGAGGATTATATAACTCAATTTTAGTTTAGAAAAAGCAACTCTGTAACAAAAATGCTACTAACTAGATTCAACTAACAGAGCAGAAACACAAAAAAACATCACAGGGACAAACTTAAGTTTCATGAAGGAAGGGCCCACTTAACTTGTCCTGTGTCCCCAGTGCCTAGCAGAGTTTATCACAATGCAGACACTCACCTATGTAACCTATTGAATGAATAAATCTTGCCTTGCTCAGCACTGTGGGAACTGAGAAAAAACATGGCCCTCCTGACTTCCTAGAGATCTCAAAGTTAACCTGTAAAAAAATGACTTTACGAGCAGGTTTTGTTGAGACAAGAGAAACAAAAACATTTAATCACATGGACCCTGTTATTAAATTCTTCTGAATTGAGTTCTTAAACAATGGAACAGTGGCATTAATAGTGAACAAGTTTTATTTGGAAGTTATATTAAGTCGTCTGACAGGGACCTCCTTGGGCATGTAGGGGTTAAGTCTTAGCACTATCACCTGGGCTGACCTGAGGCCAGGAAGCTGACCCACATATGGTACAGCAGACCTCTCCTGTACTGCCTGCTGCTACCCTCAGCAGTGTAAAATATACCTATTCTGTTCCCTACTCTGTGTCTGATGTATCTTACATCTCAGTTCTTCTCTGCAAAAAGTAAATAAAAATTTTAAAAGTTCTCTGACATTAGAAAGGCATCCCTTAATTTTCTTCCTAAAAATACTGTTTATGGGACACAATATGATAGACTGTTGCCTTTATAATGATGAGGTGTTCCATCTGATATTTTATGATAGCTTTTTGCACTTTGTCTTAAGTTTTGAAATTTGATGATAAAAATGCTTTTAACAGTAGCTACTGGGCTTAAATCTTGGAAATTATATAAATGCTATATCACACTTTTAACATGTTTCAGAAACTACTAGTCAAAAGTATACATGACTCTTTAGTTAAATAGCTAAATATATGCATATGTTATGGACATATGCTATAAGAGGAAAAACTTGTTTAAATACTTACCTTCCAATTTATCTTCTCTCACTACTGCAACCTTGTGGCACTGTAAGGAAATACCATTTTATTATTGTTTAAAAGTTGTACAAGGTAGAATTTTAAAGTTTTCTTGCCAATAATTCAATTGCACATGAACATGAAATTAGAAACACTAGTACCCTAAAAATATATAAATATAACTAGGTACATATATGTAATTTATTTATATGTGACATTATTAAAGTCAGGCTCATTTTAAATTGTTTACTTTAAAACTTCTCAATCAGGTAAAGGAAAGTGATGAATATAGTATGGATACAGAAAAAACAAAAACAAAACCCTGAGCATTCTAATCAGTATAAGAGGACTTTTTATCAAGTCACACAATAAGAATGTGTAATCTTACGGAACCAGCTAAAAATTGGGTCTGTCTTCTACCCTATAAAACGTAATCAATTCTAAGTGAATCAGCTAGAAATGTAAAGAATGAAAACATACCATACATACACTAGAAGAAAACAAGGGTGAATTCTTCTATAAACTGATTATAACCTGAGATTAAGGAAAAATTTCCTAACATTCAAAATCCAGAAATAATTAAACTAATCTATAAAATGTTATTCGTACATGATAAAAATAAAAATTGTAAAAAAAGTACAAAGACAAATGATAAAGTGAGGAAAATATCTGCAAGTTATATCAGAAAGGGTTAATTTATAGTTTCTAAAATAGATAAGACAGTAGTAATCCTTGGAAAAAGATTATGAATATTATTATGAACAACAGTTCACCAAGAAAGGCAAATGATCCAGAAACATGACACTTCCATACATTGCTGGTAGGAATGAAAAATGTAAAGGCATGTGGCAGTGACCAATAAAGCACAGACAGAGCCTATTTCTATTTAGGAACACAACCCTAAAACACACAGGCAAAAATACACGAAATATATATATTGTTAAGAGCTATTTGCACAATAGCCAAAGACTACATAGTCCAAATAACTACCAATAGGGCTGATTGCTGGATAAACTAAATGGAATCTACCAAATACAGGAACATACAGCTGTAATAAGGGCAGAGGATTGTTTCCTGACTACTGTGGAGTGATACTCATGATCTAATGGTAAAGAAAAAGAAAAGTATAAAATATGGTGCAGTTCATGAAAATGTTCATGTAAAAAATGGGAATAAGAGTATGTTTGCCCACATTCAAAACATACACAGTAATAAAAACAATGGAAGGGGAACACATAAAAAATAAAGACATTGGTCTTACTTTTCTAAATATATATTGGGCAAAAGCATATGTATGTTTATATTGTTAGGACCCATCAAAATTTAGAACATAGGGTCTCCCTGGTGGTGCAAGAGGTTAAGTTTCATCACTAGTGTAACAGGGCTGTCCCCAGGAAAAGGGGAAGTTCCAGGTTCCATACCCTACCCAGAAGGAGGGTGAAGCTGAATAGAGGAGAGAGGAATCTGGAGAGGCATCTGAAGAAGAAGGAAGCAGGATGGAGGACAGAAGGTGACCTGAGGGAGCCACATGGAGCAGAGAGACATGTGAAGAAACCATGCTTGTTTTTTGGTCATGGACTGGTTGAAACAGAAGTGGGTGAGAGACCCATGGGGAGGTTCATTATGGTAATGATTACCTTGATTTTGATTTTGCTCTTTTCCTCCCAGACTTGTCTGAGCCTTTTTCTATGGGTCCCAGCCAGAAGGTGCTTTAGGCTTGTGGAGGGCTTTCAGGCCTTGCTTTGGGCCAATCCTTTTTGGGGGGACTTTTACTCATGAGGGGATGGGTAACTTCAGGAGTTTGATTTAGAAAATATATTCTTCATCTTTTCTGTTCTGCACCCTCACTGTATTAAAATTCCTTTCCATTAAAGCTCTTTTGTCTTGTCTTGATGCAGTAGATGGCAGAACTTATTTAGAGCAGATAGGTTTGGGGGTTCAGGGGTGCCCCTCTCTCCCTGCCCCCTGTTAACACTATGAAGCTAACCACTGCCACTGCAGCACAAGTTTGATCCCTGGCCAGGCAGCTGACCCACATGACATAGCAGACCTCTCCTGTCTCACCTGCTGCTCCCCTCAGCAGTGTATTTCAATACATCTGCTTGTTCCGCTCAGCACTGTGTCTCTGGGTGAATCCTTTCATCTTGCCTGCACCTCTGGCCTGTACCCCGTC